GGAGCGAGCGGGCGGCGCCATGGCGGAGGGCGAGGGCCTGGTCTCCGTGGACTACGAGGTGTTCGGCAAGGTGCAGGGTGTTTTCTTCCGCAAGTACACCCAGGTAAGGGGCGAGGCGGCGCCGGGTCTGCACGAAGGGCTCGTCGGCGTCATTCTGTGTCTCTCTTACGGTTCGGGTTGATTTCCTTTTGCTCTGCTGTGTCATCTCAGGGGGAGGCTAAGCGGCTGGGACTCGTTGGTTGGGTCCGAAACACGAGCCACGGCACCGTGCAAGGGCAGGTTCAGGGTCCGTCTGCCAGGGTGCGGGAGCTGCAGGAATGGCTCCGGAAGACCGGAAGTCCCCAGTCCCGCATCAGCCGAGCGGAGTTCGGCGATGAGAAGGCCATCGCGGCGCTGGAGCACAAGGACTTCCAGATTCGGAAATAACCTTGTCCGGGAAGAAGCAACGCCTGGAGCGCGAGGTGCCCCTCGCAGAATGTTTCCCCTCTTCCCCCTGGGTTCAGTCAGCTAACGCACAGCTCTAGAGGGCTTCATTTTATCCTGTGTCTAATTTATTGGTCCATTGTACTGTTAGTCCAACTCTCAGCCTCGCGCAAAGTTTTGGCAGTAGAGGAGGAGCCGTGCTGTAGTTACGGAAGGGGCCGTTTGGGGACACGGCCTCTCCGCGTCTGACACTCTGCACAGGATGGGGGTTGGGCAGTTGAGCATCCTTCATCGTTTGTGTAGCGTTGCCCTCGCGCCATGGAAGTCACAGAAACAATGCTGGCGCTAAATGTTGCTAAAAACGTTATTTTTGTGCTCTGAACGCCTCAGGAGCTGTTTTGTCGCAGAGCTTTTATTTTTCCTTTAGAATAAAACTGCGTGGAGCTTCTTGTGTGGAGTGGATGTGGCGTGCGGGGGTCGGGCGGGTTGGGCCCTTTCAGTGCTACGCTGTTGCCGACGGCTGTCCCTGCGGGCCCGTACGGTGTGACGAGCAGCCCCCGGTGCCGCTCGGAAGGAAAAGGCCCTTGCCCCGGGCCCCCTCGGGCCGCCTCGGGGACG